TTCCTCCTTCTCCTCCTCCTCCTCTTCCTCCTCCTCTTCCTCCTCCTTCTCTTCCTGCGCCTGCTACCTGCTTCCTCGTCAGTCCTCCGCATCCCTCTTCCCTCCGTATCCCTTCTCCCTCCTTCCCTCCTTTTCTTCCCTCCTCCTCCCTTCCCCCCCCCGTCCCAGCTGCCCCCCGTCCTCCCCACCTCCAAGCCGATCTTGGCCCGAGCACCGCGCCGCCCGGGCCGCCTCGCCTCCCGCGGCCCCGCCCGCTGGCTGCCTGCCGCGGGCGCCCTCTGCGCGCGGGGGCGCCGCTGGAGGCGGCCGCCGCCGAGGCCCGGCGCCTCGTGCAGAGGCCGCCGAGGGCCTGCGCCTCGCCCCCGCCTTCGCCGAGCCACGGCCGCGGGGCCCTCGAACGCGGAACCCTCGGCCTTGGAGCCCTCGCCGCCCACGGCCGTGGGGCCCTCGAGGCGCGGCGGCGGGCGCTGCCCTCGAGGCCGCGGCGTGGGGGAGGGCCGGGGGCGTGGAGGCAGGGCCGGGCGCGATGGACGTGAGCACGGTCGATCAGGGGCAATGTCGGGGGGGGGCAGAGGCCCAGAAGGGAGATGCAGCGACCCCCAATGTTGCCGGCGGTGCCTCGCCGGCTCGGGCTCGATGCCCCCCCGCTCGGAGAGCTGCCCCCCCCCCCCCGCCGGCGTTGCCCCTCAGCCCAGGACGGGGGCAGGCGGGACGGCGGCCCCCGCGGCGGCCCGGTCGGGCCAGCGTGCCGGCGGCCGCCGCTCCACGAAGGCGCGGCGGGCGGCCCAGTCGTGCGCACTAGCGGGGGCGGGGCGCGATCTGGGACCCGCGCAGCCGGCGGCTGCGCCCCGCTCCGGCGCGGCTGCCCCGCGGGAGCTGCCGGGGCCCGGGCCCGCCAGCGAGGCGCCCGCGCCCGGGGCCCCCCGCGGCCCCCCACGGAGGCGTCCGTGGAGGAGCTGCGGCGGCCGGCGGTCGCCGCCCGGCCTCCTCGGGCCGCCTCGCCCCCCCCGGCGGCGGCGGCGGGCGGCGCGGCAGGCGTCGCCCGCCGCGCTGGCGGGCTGTCCTCTCTGTGTCTCCTTCCCCCGGGGGGGCGGCGCGGGCCCGCCTCCCCAAGCCTCCCTCTCCTGCGGGAGCGGCTCGCTGAGCTTCGCGGGATCAGAGCACATGCCTTTCTTTTTCTCTTTTTTTTTTTCCTTTTTTTTCTTTTTTTTTTTTTTTTCTTTTTTTTATTTTTTTCTCCCTCTTTCTTTTTTTTTTTTTTTTTTTTTTTTTGTTTGTTTTTTCCTCCCTGTTTTTTTTCCTTTTTTCCTCCACCTCCCCCTCCTCCCCTGCCTCCCTCCTGCCTACCTCCCTCCCGCCCTCCTCCTCCTCCTGTCCTCCTCCTCCCTCCTGTCCTTCCTCCTCCTCCCTCCTCCCTCCTCCCTCCTCCCTCCTCCCTTTTATCTCCTCACTCTTGCCTCCTACCTCCT